TTAAATTAACTCATAACCAAAATAACATTCAATTATACGTGGACGGAAGTAGGTATGACTACGAGATTCAAAAGTTTATTGTGCGAATGAGGAAAGCCATCAAATTATTCAAAACAATTATTAATCAATTTTTGTAAATACTTTGCATCATTTTTAATGGTTTAAATCAAACAAATGAATCTTAAGCCATTATACAGTTTTAGACCTCATTGCTTAATGATAAGAACTCTAAAACTTAAATTGCATGAAATTTTAAAATAATAATTTAGTTTTAATATCTTAGGTTATATGCAAATTAAAAAAAAAAAAAACATTTTTAATAATCGATAGAAACAACTATATTAGGTACAATAATACAACATATTAGATATTTAAATATTTTTAATATTTTAATACCTATTTTAAAGTAATTAAATGTACTATGTTTATTATTATGATTTTATATTATAATATGTGAAACGAGAATTATTTGTTTGAAGTAAAATTATACATACACTTAATTATTATATTTTTATTTAAAAGACTTTTGTTAAATATAAAATATATATACAAACTATACTTCAATAGAACCTCAACGTATCCAAAAGTTTGATCTCGTTGAAGCACTCATATCGATAATTTTATCAAAATAAATAAATAATAAACATGATACCTATGTTCCTATATATTTAATGTATTTTTAATAATGTAATGTATGTAATTCTAAAAAAATATTAACAATAATAACAATAAATAATATGTATTATAAAATACTTAACTGTGTTTTAAAAATTTATTTATTGTGTTTTTTAAATTTTCAATATCCAAACATTCACATATTCGAACTAGGAACAGTTCCAATTAGTTCGGATAATTGAAGTTCTACTGTATTATACTAAGTTTAGATTAATTTAAAGTAGTCAACGTTTATATTAAAAGATTAATTTTAATTTTAGGCTATATTTTTTATAAAAATTAGATTAACCATTTAGATTTTAGGCAAATAGTGTAATAAATAGAATCACAATTTAATATTGATATTAATACCTTTCGTAATGGTTTATAGCTCACGTCAAAAATTCATATTTAAAGACACTGCACAGTTTAATACTTGAAAATTAAGTAATTGCACCTATTATAATATAACCTATAGTATTGTTTATTACTTTAGTTAATTTAAATAATAATTCCTTAGTTTCAATAATAAATTTACAGTATTCTATAATAGTTATAATTTAAAAAATTCACGCGTTATCTACTCAAAAAAACTTTATAATAATATAAAATATAATGTATTGTTAGTGGTTACTAACTTCTTTTAAAAATGTTGTTTCATATTAGAATAAACATAAAGTTCTATTTTTAAGCTTTTTGCTCGTGTTAGACTGCAATACATTCAATCACTGTCAAAGTGTTGAACGAATATGATCGAAAGTTATTCATACTTTCACTTTGTACGTAATACTATACACCTGTGAAAAAATCACAAGATATATTATCATATTATTTAACAGCAAATTCCTCTATACAACCACATTATATTAGAAATGGGTCGGGCACAACATAACTGATGAGAATTTCGATCGTTTTTATTTTCATGTTGAATATTATTTCATGGACCAGAAACGGCGAACGGGAAAAACGCATTGCTGTAACAGCAGGGTAAACGAAGCGCGCGGCCACAGCCGACCGCACGGCGCGGCGCACATCGTGAAAGTGTAGGGCGACTGCACCCAAAACGGGCGGAGATGGTGGGCGTCGCATTTTCGAGCCATTGAGCCAATCACGACCTCAGCAAGGTGGCGGCCGGAGTGAGCGGAAAATCTGTGAGCTTTTGCTCCGGTCACTTTCTTGCACCCCCGAAAGAGATCGTCTATGATTCGCCGCTTATCCGGCGTGGGTAAGCTCTATACTCACACACACAAGCACAACACACAACGAAAGTCATAGGGGTTGATTCCCGGGCGATGTGCGCGCGCCGAATGGGGTGGGTTTAACGTGGACCCTAAAATCCGGCAGGGTTGGGTGGCGGCGTGTGGGGCTTTTAAATCCGCGGTCGGCGGAAGGGTCAGAATGCTGTAGGGGGTGTGGGGTAAAAGCGTGATTGACGTGCAGCTTGTTTTCGATGGAAGCTGAGGAGGGATCGGAGTGGGCTTATTTCGGAGTCGCCCGGGCCGGCTGCCAGGGTATAAATAAGGTACTTTCGCCGGGTCTAAGTCAGTCGCTCGCCGTCGTCTGTCGCTTGTAGTCCTCTGTACTTATTAGCGGCGGCGACGGCGTGATTTTCGACTCAGACACACACACATTTGCGACGCCACCGATAACCGACTTAGAAAACACACAATAGTGTGTGTTTCAGGTCGCTGTCGGTGTAGTCCAGGTGGCACTGTCGACGCCATCAACATTAAGTTCGACGAAGACATCTCAATTCCGGTCTTGGACTGCAAATTTCACTGGTCCAAAGACTGCTCCTGCTACCGCCGTCAGCCAGTCGCCTCTTGGTAATATAATATTTTTATACTACTTTATATTATAACATGTCGTCTTTTGTTGCAATATACTATACAGATTCACTTATATTATAATATATACTATGTGTTGTTGATTTTATTCAAAATATAACATAACATTATTTTTAAAATGTTTACACGAATACAATGATGAAAAAAAATAGGTTTATATATTTTGTCTTTTTCATACTTGTTTACTTCTTTGTATTTTGAAATAATACAATAAATTTGTTTTGTTTCGATAGGTAGTAATTATATTTTCTTATTGAAAAATATAGCTTATAATTATTTTATAACAGATTTTATTTTTCTTCTAATTTTAACAACTTAGAGATTTATCTTCAAAGAAATACATTTTTTTTCCAGTGCCTTTTTAATTTCTCTTACTCTATTTTACCAATTTTCCAATTTTAATGACTAGATTTTTTTACATATTTTACTTTAGATTTATTTTCAACTTTTACATATTTATAATATATTTTTTCATTATTTGTTTTAATATCAATACTTATTAATATTTGTATAGTATATTGCACTTTGATTTCAGGAACCAATAGTACGACATTTAGATTAAGATTACTTAGGTATATTTTTACTAGTACTTAAGAGTATAGTTTAGTATATGTACCCTTCAGAATACTTTTACTTATTAGACAGTATGAAAAATATTAATTCCTTTGATAAAAATTTGTGTAGAATAAGCATAATATTATTGTATAGCAAATAATATAGAATATGCCAGTAACTTTACTGAAAAACTTTCTTTTAATCACTTTGTTAATAAATTTAGCAGTACGTATCAATACTAAATTCATATAATTAATTCTAAAAAGTAATATATTTTTTTATAACTTTCATTGGCAGTAGATTTATTTTACTAATATAAGAATATTAATTTTACTAATTAACTGAGATTTTATGTAAATTACAACCATGATAATATTTTTGTCAAACTCTTATATTCACATACAGTGTAACTTCGATAAGTCGAAATTCAAGGGAAATGCAATTTTTTCGACTTATCGAGGTTTTTGACTTACTAATTATTAAGGATTTCGAGTTATTAAGGTTTCAGAAAACAAAATTTGACTTGGAGAGTTTATTTATTTTACTATCGTATTTTTTTTTGTTACAATTTTACAAAAAATAATTTAAGATATTACTTCGAGTTAGATTCTTGCTCATAATATTATCAATAGTATTTTCTAACACATTTAAATCAAAATATACTTTATTGTCCACATCACTAGAATGTTCGTTAATGTCCTAAGTAATATCAGGACAGCTTTTTCTTGTTTTACTAAGATATGAATGGCTCATATGATTCTTCGTGCCGTTTTTTATAATTTTTATGTCAACCAGCTTTGAATTTTTCGTGGCCTAATGACTGAGAATTTTTCTGATTTGTACAGAATGATATAATGATACTGGCAAACAAAATTAAAATGTTATTGTAAAAATCAATAATAATTAATCGTCTATACCAGGAATGCCGAATGTTCGAGTTATCTTTAATTTTTTTTTTTCGAGTAATCGAAGTTTTTGCAAAGGAACGAAATGTATTTAGACTTATTGAGGTTTCACTGTATATTAATTTAACATCTACAATGCTTCAAATTTAGTATAACACTAGCTTTACCAAAATAAATATTCTTATTATTTAATTAATTTTGCTTAATAAATTATATACTTAAATAAAATTGTGCTGATCCATACTGCTTAACTCATATTAAATTTTGTATTATTGTATTAATCACAATTTTCAATATTCCTATTTTTTAATTTACCTGTAATCCTCACATAACTTACAACAAAATAAAACAGTTATAATTATCCAAAATCACAGTTAAATATTTAATAAAGGTTACTATGTATTGCAATTATGGTTTAGTAAAAAAAAATATAAATTAATTTTAGTTATGATATACAATATATGTATACATGTTACGGTATTATACAATATGATAAAAATCATTGGTCATAGAAAATTATAGGTACTAATAATTATTAATACATATATAAATAATATAATTGTGTAATACAATATATTATTGGCTATTAAAGTACTATCTATAAGCGTTAAAAAATTTTAAATGTCTTAGAATACACACATTTATATACATAATAAATTATTAATACATTGTCATATTTTATCATAATATTTTGAAGTAACTCTATTTGGTTACTTATTACTTTATATCGCAGTAGTCAAGCGGGTTCTTAGTTTGATTGTGTTTTTGATTTTCATAGCTATAAGTATAAAGGGAAGTCGGTATAGGTACTTCATACTTTAATTTTTCTTAATGTCGAAATGAAGGATGAAGCATATCCTCAACATGCGCATGGGCGCCCGCAGGAAATTTATCAGGGAGGGGCATAATGAAATCACACTAAAAAATATATTAAAAAAAGTTTATTCCTTGTAAAATGTAAAATGTAAAACAAAATTTATTCGTTATTAAATAAAAACTGAAGTCTTCGTGGTTGTTCTATTGCAAACCTTATTATCAATTATTCAATGAATTTTTCTTTTCTTATATTAATTCTTTCACGATGAACACTTAACATACATAGACCATTTAATCGTTCTTCACACGTCGTAGACCGAAGCCAAGTTTTAACTCTTCGTAAAGTGCTAAATGACCTTTCAGCTGTACAACTTGTAGCTGGCAAAGATAGAAAAATTTCTAATGCAATTGTAATGCAAGGGAAAAATATATTGCTATGTTCTAGTAAATCTATTATGTCCATACTTCGGCAGTCTTTTTTTTGCCATAAACTATACCAACTTTCACTTTCAGCTAACAGGTTTTCAATTTTATAACATTTATAAATATTTGCTATGCTTTCAGTGTACTCTTGTTTTTTCATTTTTATAAATAATGCTGGATGAAGATGTTGTAATGAAAAAGCAACACTATTACTTTTTTCAAATCTTTCTTTAATACACTGAATTATTGAATCTAGATAAGGTAGAAAAATTGACACTCGATAATAGTCTTTGGGAGATTCGTAAGAATAATTGTTTCTGTGTGATTGTTTTCCAGTTATTCTGAGACAAGTTATAGTGAATTCAAAGTCATCTGCTATAGATTTGGCGTCAGTAAATAATAAATCAAAAATTTCATTTGCATTTGGTCTATTGTCTTCTAACATTTTTAACAATTCCTTCACATGTTCCCGAACTTTATAAAGCTCCATTGATACACCTTGTAAAATATTTTTAACTGATTCTAAGATAGCGCTGTATTTAGCAATTATTTTCATACTAATTATAAATGTAAAATTCGAGATTGAGGAGTATAGATTAAGTGCACGTTGTCTTGTATTCGAATTTATAATACCATTAACAGACAGAGATTGAAGGATTTGAATTATGGCAATAAAATTTTCAGAAAACAGCCTGATACTCTTATACTTTGAAGACCAGCGTGTTTCGCAAAAAAGTGGTATATTGGGTATAAGATTTCTTCGAAGTGTACTTTCGCGATAAAATTTTATAATTTCTTTTATTGTGCCAATAGTATTACGAATAACCATAATTTTGTTTAGATCGTTAATTACTAAATTTAATCGGTGACTAGCACAATGGAAATATAAAGCTTTATTATATCGGTTACGAATTAATTTAGCAACGCCGCCTACTTTGCCAGCCATTGTAGCACAACCATCATAACCTTGTCCATAAAGTTTACTTAAATTAAGGCCACTGTCTTCCATAAATGATAAAATTTTAGTAGCAACTGATTCTGCGTCTAATTTATCTAATGGTAAAAAGCCAAGGAATTCTTCTCGAATCTTTATAGGACTTGACTGCTTGTCTAAAAATCTAATTACAATTGTTAGCTGCTCAACACCAGAAATATCTGCCGATTCGTCAGAAATAATGGAAAACGCATTCGCGGCATTAGCTTCGCACACTATTTCTTCTTTTAATATCTTTCCACATAATGTGATTAATTCATTTTGAGTTCTATGGGACGAATATTTAGCATTTCCCGCGTTAGTTAAAAAATGATCTTTCAATATCTCATCGCCAGATTCAATACGAAAATTCAAAAGACCGTGAAAAACACCAGAATCTGATTTTTTCCCTCGTAAGGGAAGGTCGTGAGTTCCACAAAACAAAATAGTTGATATAATAGGTTTTAATTTTAGCCTGTTAGTTTCTATTTCTTTATGCAATCCAGAATTTACTTGTTCAATAACACTAATTTTTTTACCTTTCAATTCAGGGCTTGAAACCGAAATTTTTTTTTTCGATTTCGATTTCGGTTTCAGATACCGGATTTTATTTTTTCCGATTTCGATTTCGGTTTTTGATATCGATATTTATTTTTTTCGATTTCAATTTAGGTTTTTGATATTGATATTTACTTTTTTCGATTTTGATTTCGGTTTCGGATATCGGTATTTATTTTTTCCGCTTTCAATTTCGGTTTCAAATACCAGTATTCACTTTTTTCGATTTCGATTTTAATTTCGGATATCGGTATTTTTTGTTTACGATTTGATTTGATTGGTTAACTTTCTTCCCATTTTAATAAATCACAAAAAAAAAACTAAACAATGTTAAAAGCAAATACCACGAGAGACGATACTATAACATAACCACAGAGGTTTCAATGCATGCGAAGTAATAACTAAAATGATAGCAACTTCCAACTATATAATAACATGATAGAAATTATATTATGTTATTACTTTACTTCATTAGTACATAAATAGTATCCCAATAACAATTAAATTTGTACAACAATATTATTCAAATAATATTTCTTTTATCAGTGCGGTGCGGTGGGTGGAGGGCCGGAGGGAACACATTTTTCAGTTGACAGAATTTATAAATACCCAGACGATTACGTTTTAGTCTATAGTTATTATTATATAGATTAATGATATTGTTGGACCGGACTAATCTTGTTCTAAGAAATTCAGTCAAAACATGTTATTGACATATTTTATCGTATGCAGTATTATACTATTATTATTTATTAATTAATTTTTAGCCCGCATAACCAAACATTTTCCGACAACACATCTCATCATTCTCATGATCTCATCTGACAATTAATAAAATTGTAATACCTCATTTCATATCCACATTTATTTTCGAACACTATAGGTGAATAATAAGAATATTAACTCATTAAATATTACATTAAACGATAAGTAGTCGAAATTCGAAATAATGCTTCGAACTCATCTTCAGTATCTAGTAGAGGTTTTAATTTCTGTTTTTGATATCGTTATTTATTTTTTTCAATTTTGTTTCCGGATTTGAAAATTGGTATTTATTTTTTCCGATTTTGATTTCGGTTTTGGATATCGGTATTTGTTTTTTACGATTTCGATTTCAGTTTCGTTTTTGATATCGATTTTTAACGGTTTTAACCGGTATTCAAAATCGGTATTCAATACCGGTTTCAAGCCCTGCCTTTCATAACATCCATAAAATCTTTCGCTCTTGACATTGATTCAGTGTGCCAATTTGAAGACAAGTGTATTTTAGAAGATGCATGAAAATCCTTATACTTGGTAAACGGTTTTACTATAAATCCACCTTGTACGCCTCTATGAATTGATGGCTTGAACAACACACATATTCTACAAAAAGCTCCTTTCACACCCTCAAGAGCTGAATATGTCAACCATGAACCGTTTTCGTACAACCATTGATGTCTAAATGCTCGAGTTCTTCCTAATTTTAAATCACTCTTAAAGTCATAAGTAGTATTCGGTACCCAAGGATTACGTAAAAGTTCATGTTTTAAACAATCGCAAATATTTTCAACGTTCAAATAATTTCCAATATCTTTTTCATTGATTAAGATGACATGACCGTCGTTATTTTTTGTATTCACGGTAACCGAAGCACTTTCAACTACACACGATTCCGACGACTCTATATTGAATGTATTATTTATTTCAATTGAATTAGAGCCAGTAGAGGCTTCACTAAGAGAATCACACAGTTTGGGTTTTTTAAAAAAATTTCTGATGTCCATAACAGTATAAACAATAAAACAATATATTAAATATACTAAATACAGTACGTACGTAATTTAACGTGGTCCGTGTTTCACCGTAGACGTTGATAAAATGACAACTGATTTCATTTCACAATTATTATAATTCCCAATGTGATATTGTACATTCGGTTTATTTTTAGTTATCTCAGTTATCTAACTCGTTACCTATCTCTACGTTGTGTGCGTATATGTGCGTCAGTCGTCATAAGTGGTTCGCAACCCACAGTTTGAGAAACGCTGCACTAGGCGATTAATATAAATTCCCAGAATTTAAACGTATTTAATATATTACACTAATATGCGTTATTTTGTACGTCTTAAAGTATATTGTTATTACAATCATCAACCCCACACACTAAAGTAAAAATATCGATGAAATGTTTATAAATCAAAATAAAAGTTAAAATGTTCAACATTTTGTTTGAATTCCAGGGGGGGGGCAGATGCCCCGTCTTGCCCCCCCACCGGGCGCCCATGAACATGCGTATAACACGTGTATAACTGTTGCGCCCGATAATTCTATATTTATGAAGTGTGATATGAAGAGAGTTGGATTACACGAGAATGCGTTTAGTTAGTGTCAGAACAGGCGTATTACGAAGTGGAGAGCGTAGATGCGGAACTTAGTAAGTAGGGATGAAACGTTTGGGAGGGGGGGGGGGGGGTTGAAAGAGCGGAGAGTGGCTAAGGACTTAAATGGGCCACCGCCGTGAGAGTTCAGGGACCTATAGTATATCCCTTCACATCTTCACCATTTTAAAACTTTATTTAAATCAGCGTCTTTGACGATTACAACAGCCTTTATATTCAGATTCAATTTGTTCTCTTCCAATACAATCTCTTGATATTATTTTTTAATTTATTTCTATAACGTGACATTCATTTTATTATATTAATTACCTAGTCATCGTCAATAATTTCGTATTTTCTTTTTTGTATAAACCAGTATTTAGAGTTACTGCTATCAATGTTTATTATGTTAATCGTTTGTTAAATAACAATATTAATTCTATTATATTACTATCACAGCTGGTCTGTTATTTGTACTCGACTAAAATATGGCAGACTTTGTCCATTTCATTTTCTACGCCATATCATATATCAGCTGTATCTATAACTACGACTCCTTATATTCCAACGACACATTTGACACTTCAACTAATATGGTAATGCAGCTACCACAAACACCACCTATTAACCATTGTCTGGATCCACTTTGCTGTCAGAATAACGCTTTTTTCACAACGGTTTTAATGACGGGAACATTGTTGTTAATATTCTTGTTCGTTTTCAATATTTTTCGAGGGGTTTTGATGTTGATACATGAAGTTCTGGATCAACCGCACCATCAATTACGACAGCAACGATAACAAGGGTGGTAAACACTTTTAGCCCACCGTCATTATATTGCTGGTAAACATTTTTATTTACGATATTATAAGTTATTACATTATTTATGTTACTCATATGGACTGTTATGATTATCGTACAGGTTGTAGGCGTTCATCTATCATTTATTGAAATCGAAAACACACTTATACATAAATATATATATATATATCTTGACATCATTGAATTATTTGTTTTAACAATAAAAAGTTAAAAAAAAATTTTTCGTGATAATTGCACTTTGACATAACATGTCTATTATTTTACCGATAAGATTGTCATAATTTTTTTCTTATAATATTATGTTTATTGCTTTGTCGTTTGCTTATGTTTATTTTACAAACACTTTAATTTAAATTTTGAAACTGTTACAAAAGTTCAAAATCCATAGTATTTTATATTATGACAAAGTAATTTTAATATTATATACTTATACATATTTAATTGTTTGATATTATACCTTCAATATTTATATACTCGCGCAATAAATGTGGACTCTTCCGATATATGTATAATAATATGATTGAATAAATTATATCGTCTTTCATATATAATTTATTGTATTCTTATTAGTTGAGTTGAATGTTTTCGCTCAAACCTATACCTACATGACATTATGTCTAAAAACAATATTCTAATAAAATTACTATCGTTTATAGTAGGTAGTGCTTATAGTGAAACGTTTATAAGTTTTAATGGTGAATTCAGTATTTTTAAAATGATTGCGATTATATACGAAGTCTTGTTCAAAATATAATTTCAACTTTTATCACAAATCATTTGTTTAATAAAATATGAATTCTTGTCCAAAATATTTAATCAATTGTCTTTTAAGAAATTAGTTCGTGTATGCGTATATTATATTATTTATTTCTTACAAAGTCTTAATATGTCGACCATGTCATTATTGCCTTTGAACTAAAAAAAAAGTATCTTCGCTTGGAACGTTTAATTTTTCCTTGAATATACGTAATACGCAAAATCACTTAATATACCATTCTGTTGTATTCAATATTATGCGTCTATGCCTAAACAGTTCGATTTTCATACCAGACGGTCTCCCGTTATGTGCAATTCGGCGAAATTAGTGTAGTTTGTCGTGGCGGGTTCGTGTGGAACGCCGTCCGAGGACCGGTGTACAATGATAAAGCAGGATGTGGTAGAGTGGTGTATGAACGAAGGTCGTACGGTGGACAAAGGAGGTTACAAGGGCAACTGTTGCTTTTGTCACGACTCCGCAACAACACTACGGTCAATGCTACCGGTCTAGTAATCGTGACCGTGATCGAGTTGAGGGTAGGAATCGGCCGCCGGTCGAGACAGGTATCCACCTGTAGTCTCGTCAGGTAGGGGTGTGTCTTTATCGAGGCTGATGAACAAGAGCGGGCGGGTGTAGCCGGTAGAGAGCGTTCGCGGCGAGTGTTCTAAATCGATCGAACACACGCTACACACTGTCCTGCCATTCACTTTTATTCGTACTGCCGTCATTGTGATCCAATCGACTTCTGCCCAAACGTTTCACCGTCAATCCCTTGCACGTTCTTGCACTCACGCACGCGCATACACCTCACACGCATGCTCTCCCACCACCTACGCCACTTCCAACCGGTCGCGTCGACGAGTTAGTAGTGCCACCACCATCGTACCGAGATTGCCGTGTATACCGCACGAACGTGTTGAAACAGCACAAGGTCATATAACAATATAATTAACTGCACGAGGGCGCCGTAGACAGTAGTGTAGAACGCAGCACCGTTTCCGATAAGTTTTCTCGGCTACAAAATTCGCATTTAGAGTCAGGTTAGTCTTGGCAATTAATAACCGATAATGAATCAAAGTCTCGAGGAAGATTCTTATGTGAGACCCGTGGATGTTTTAACGCCGAACACCGATCTGCCGATAGGCGTGTTCGATGTCGTTTCATTTGTGATGAGGTACTTCTCTATTTTTACGTCTCTCGGGTTCAAACTAAAACTGTTTTTCATATATTTCGAAGTTTTCGAGAAGATGACGAGTGTACCGAATAACACTAGTACTAAACTGTTTTCATTATTCAGCAGAAATCGATCCGACGAACCTGAACTGTCGGCGGTGATACAAAACGCGTTCGGAATGTTCTTGTTCTTGTTTTTAATTGTATTGTTCCGAGTTTTCTACTATTTTCGCGATCGGTTTGAGGAGTTTATAATGAGGTTGTTCATCGCAGTGTTCACCATTGATGACAATATGCCGGATTACGTGGACAACGAATCAGACCGCAACGAATCTGACGAAGAGTATATCTACAATAGAAATAACCGTCGATTCGCCGCGGACGAAGAATACGAAGGTGATAATGAAGACAATGAAGTGGATGATGAATTCCAATTAAGCGACTACGTTCTAGGTTTTATTTACAACGGCAGAATGAACACTAGCTTATTCATGAGCTATCCGATCTATAGAGGTTATCTAGATGACAGTGATTATCCAGCTGATAGTGATGATGATTCCTATACTGATAGCGAGACCGACAGTGAAGACGACGACAACTACCGTTATGGAGACAATGAGTATGAAGATAACAGCAACATCCATGACGTCGGTGGTGTCGGTAACAACGACAACACCAACTAATCAACGTCGTAAAAGCAGGTACAATCGTTATCATTGAGTTACACATAATATGAAAA